TTCAATGCTTCCAGGATCTTGAGAGAATCCTCGTAGTTGTCCTGAGCCACCTTGCTGTTGGCCCACCCGTCTACTGAGTGTCCCTGATGTATCCTTGTTCTCATGTACATGGTCGCTTGGACGGCCTGCAGCTTCCGAGCAGCGTTCACGGTCCCGTCCATCTGAGGGAAGCATCTCGATCGGAGGAAGTCAGGGTTGCCGTCCAGGTCCGTGGCGAGGCGTCGAAACGCCGCGGCGTGGCTCCCGCCGTCCTCTTCTCGCAGCCAATCTCCCGGGTCTTTCCACACGGTGTACAGCATGAGCCGGGAATAATAGAAAGCTTCCGGCTCCTGGTCGGGGCTGAAGTTGCGGTAGCCGACGATGGCCGGGCGCTTCCGTGCTTGCGGGAATTCTACCCCGATATACTTGAAGGCCGCGCAGAAATCCAGGAAGTTCAGCTCCCGAAATTGACAGGCGGTAGGCTTGCCGCCCTCTACGGGGACGTCCACCTCTTGCTCGCTGAATGCTGTCTGCATCTCCCGATACCAGCGCTGTGCCACTGGCATGTGTCCGTCACGATCGACCTTGGTGCGGCGGTAGCTGTCGGGCCGTTGCAGGGCAGCGCTCTCGTCGTATTGTGGCACCGACAGGGTCCACGTCTCGGGAGGTCCCACCTGGATCCACTCGTTGTCTCGCGAAAACTGGACGACGGGGAAGCCCAGCAGCAGGTGGCACGCCTCAAAAGTGGAAGTGGTTCTGCCTTGCAATGCTGCGTGCGCCGCCTTGTAGATCTGCTGGTTGCTGAGGCTCGCGTCCGCCACGCTACTGGAGGTGAGCCTGGCAACAATGCTCTCCACGCGCCGCTGCGCCTCCAGGTCCTGCTCCGACTTCAAGGCATAGCCCAGAATGTAGCGGCTGGCGCTGGTCAGCTCGCAGATCACCTGCAGGTCCATGCTGGCCCGCCACCGCCGAAGGATCTTGATGTTGTACTGGCCCATGCCTTTGTCGCACTCTGCTCGCCTTGTGGCGAGGCTGCTCTTCCAACGGCTGTTGGCATACTTTTCTTGGGAGCTGCGGCGCCGCGTGCGCGGTTCGGGATTGTGCGGAAAGCCGAAGCGGCAGGCACCGTGAGTCTTGATGCCGCAATATTCGGTGTGCTTGTGCACCAATAATTCGGCCAGCTGTGCATTGAGCTCCTTGTCGCGACCCGAGACTTTCGTGGATCGGCGCCAGCTGAGCGGACCCTTGGTGGTGATGTACTTGTCGCTCCACTCCTCTGCGCAGGTGGGAACGAAATGTTTCATCGCTTCATCATCCGACCAATCTGGGACTTGCGCCTCTGCTTCTGTTCCCTCGCCTCCGGGAGCCGCCTTCATCTTGTCGCCGGGCTTCTGCTTAGTCTTGCTCTCCCACTCCACCACCCAGAGAAGGATGTGAGCATGCGGGTAACCTCTCTTCTGCCATTCGATGCGGATGAGGTAGTCCACGACTCGGAACGGCGGGTCTTCCTTACGGACCCCACGATGCTGGCCTGCAGAGTCGGCAGCTGGCGCCTGGATGAAGTCTTCCTCGAGCGCGCCTTCTGGCTCATCCTGAGCATCTGCACCCTCGTCCATGCGGCTGCTTGCGCCATGCTCGGTGGAAAGCCAATGCATGAGCTGGGTCAGCTGGTGCATGAACTGTCGTGCCACGATAGCGGGGTACTGATTGCAGAGCTGGTTCGGCGACAGGCCGTCCCATTTGAACTTCTTGTCTGCTTGGTAACACTGCAGGATGTGCGCCGCTTCGCGCTCGAGCTCTTGGGGCTGACTCTCGGGGCGCAGCCGCAGCAGCCGCGCCATGATGACTGCGATCAGGATGTCAGGCTGTCGGGCGTGGCAGGAGAGCGTCATGAAGAACTTGGGCGTGCCCAGTTGCTCGTACATGTTCAGCGCCACGCCCTTCTTGGCAAAAACGTACGAGCTCGTCCCCGGGATGTCCCTCAGGGCCGTGAAGACTTGACCTCTGCCTTCTTGGTACTTGCTCTTCCCGTTTGGAGGCTGGCCGCCGATCCTCACGTTGATGTTGCCCGAGAGGCGCTTCTTGATGTGCATTTCCAGAAGCCACATGATATAGGCCGGCGATGCCTCGAAGCGCGGATCCAGACCCAGGAGGCGTTTGCGCGCGTACTGCGACATGCTCCCATAGGCATTCTGCCATCCACATGTGCCGGCAGGAAACAAATGCGGGAAGAATTTCACGTCCATGTCATCGCTGAGCGCTGCAATGCTGCGGGCCTTCTGCAAATCCGCTTTGTGCGGTCTGGGCGCATGCAATTCTTTAGGAATGAGGTACGTCATCTCCAGCGTGCCTTCTTGCTCCGGCGCTTCCGTCTCCTCATCTGGTGTCTGCGCACTGCCTCCCAAGGCCGAGGAGTGTGAGCCACCGAACTCCTCCGTTTGGCGCCCTTGGGAGGTCACGTGGTTTGCGAGCGCTGTTGCGCTGCCTGGCCGCGTCCCGGCCAGGATCGCTTCCATTCTTGCCAGGGCTCCATCCACCGCCGGATTTCCCTTGTACAGGCGGTGCTGGGCTTTCAGCTCCCGCAGCGCTTTGTGTAGGCAGTCCAGACGAGCTGGGGAAGCCATCTGTCCTTGCACTCCCTCCACCAGGACGGTGCCGTCTTCCTCGAGCGTGGCTCCCTCCAGGACGTCGCAAATGAAAGGGTCGTCCACCAGCACCGCGTACATTCGACCCCACTGGGCACTTGGGCCGCCAGCAGGGAGCTTGTCCAGCAAGACTTGGGAGATCCGGGCCATGGCGATGAGGTGCTGCTCGATGGGCTGGAGTTGTTGCAGCGCTTCGGGGATGGGCGGCAGGACCTGCAACAGGAACCTGGTGTTCTTCTCGCGGCAGTTCCTGCAAAGCATCTGTCCTGAGGGTCCGCTCTTCCTGCAATGTTTTGCTGGGGCGAGCGTGCTACAAGCTGCACAAAGTCTGGACAAGCCAAACCTTCCCCAGCTGCGAGTGAAGGCCAGGTACCGCTCTTGTACTTGTTCCGGACTCAAGGTCTCCTCGTCCGGGAACGGGTAGCCTCGTTGCTCCGCCTCGGTGGCGATGGGTCTTGGTCCCCGTCCGCCCAGTCCCTCCTCGGCCCGCTCGGCCTGCAGTTCTTGCCTTTGCGCACGTGTGCTTCCTGCAACCGGTAGAGGCCCGCGGCTGCCTGCTCCCTCCTCGGCCCGCTCGGCCTGCAGTTCTTGCCTTTGCGCACGTGTGCTTCCTGCAACCGGTAGAGGCCCGCGGCTGCCTGCTCCCTCCTCGGCCCGCTCGGCCTGCAGTTCTTGCCTTTGTGCACGTGTGCTTCCTGCAACCGGTAGAGGCCCGCGGCTGCCTGCTCCCTCCTCGGCCCGCTCGGCCTGCGAATCGCGCCTCTGGGCCCGAGCACTGTCTTCTTCTCCCGGGCGACCGCCACGGCCGGGCGTCGGGCCACGGCTGCCTGCTCCCTGTGCTGCACGTTGCTGCTGTCGAGCACTCTTCTCCTCGCTCTTCCGGCGGAGGTTCTCCTCTTTCTCGGCTTGGCGGCACTGCAGATTGCTGCACCATCCTTGTCCTCGGCCCCTTCGTGGCCAGCCGCACCGGTGACAAGGCGCCATCGTAACGAATTGCGAATTTGCGGTTCCTAAACTCAGCTAGGTTGTATCCGCACGGCTGCGATCAAGTATCACAGTATCAGGCATGTCAGTGGTCGTTTGTTCGCTCTCTGCCGGGCAAACCAATCTGCGTAATCACGACTACCTTCATACACCGAATCTTTGTCTGTAGTCTACAATCTATCTGACATGCAACGACACTGCGGCACTAGCCCCATTTTTCGTTTGCTGCTGCTCACACTCGGAGCTGTAACGGTCTGTGGCGTGTCACATAGAGAACCTCCATGTCCACGACGTCATTGCCGAAGCTGCGATCCAGGAACTCATGCGTCCCTCGATGCGTAGACGACCTGCACCTCCAGGACCTCGCCGTTGAAGCTGCGGTCCAGGAGTTCATGCCAGCTCCAGACGTCTGCGATCACATCTCCCTTCAACACGAGTTTTGTGGCTTCGAGGGGAATGGGTCCTGCAGGACTGCTGTCCAAGTCGTGCAGCAGGACTTCTCTGGCGCTGCGATACTGCAGCGTCTCTGCCGGGATTGGCTTCTTGGTCTCCTGTCGTCTGACACGTAGCTCTTGCAGGGATAGCCAGCGATCGGGGTTGTTGCCCTCGTGCAACTGAGCGAGCCAAGCTTCTCGGAAAGATCCGGGTGGTTCGAGTTGGCAGAGCGGGCGGTAAGGCTTCGAAGAATGGACTTCGGCACCTTGCAAGTTCAGGTACCGCACCGTCAAGTTGGCAAGACGCTCGTTGAACTCTTTCTGCATCTCCACTTCTCTGTCCCACTGTATTCCCTCACGTGCATCTTCTTCGGCTTCGCGCTGCATCTCTGTTTCGACCCAGTCCCAATCATCGAACCCGTCCTCACAGTCCGCCTGGTCGGCGTCGTGGATCGAGTGGTCTGTGCTCTGGAAGTCTTCGTCCATGACGTCGGACATCATTGTCGCACCAGTCGACCTGAGAAGCACGGGGCTGCGGCAAAGCTGACCGTCTGTGACGACAATGGTGAAGGCTTCCATATCTGAGGCTCGCACCGGACCACGGGCGAGTGATATCTGTTGAAGCTAGATAGCAGTTTGAGACTCAGTATGCTGTGGCGGCGGCCTTGAAGGATGTGCTGTCACAGGATGCTGCGCTGTGCACTTTCACAAGGCAACCTGCTAGCAACGATTCTGAATTCAAGAACTGCTAGACATGCATGTCCGTTTTGGCTTTCTGCCAGAAACTGTCAAGACTAACAAAGTGAATCCAGGAGCCTCCTATCCTCGGAAACTCGCTGGCTGGGTGAGACCATCCCATATTAGTGGCAGCTGCACCTCTCGACCCCCATTCAGGTTGAGGATAAGGGTGGCGGCTGCGCCCTCGACCTCCGATTCAGGGTAAGCGCCCAACCCCCATTCAGGTTGAGGATAAGCGTGGCAGCTGCATCTCCCGACGCCCATTCAGGTTGAGGAGCACCTCCCGACCCCCATTCAGGTCGAGGATAAGCGTGGCGGCTGCGCTTCCCGACCTCCGATTCAGGGTAAGTGCCCAACGCCCATTCAGGTTGAGGATAAGCGTGGCAGCTGCACCTCCCGCCGCCCATTCAGGTTGAGGATAAGCGTGGCGGCTGCACCTCCCGACCCCCATTCATGTTGAGGATAAGCGTGGCGGCTGCGCTTCCCGACCCGCATTCAAGCATGGCAGTTGCACCTCTCGACCTCCATTCAGGTTGGTCTTCTCAGGTTGACACCACGCACCGGGGACCCCATATTGGCTGAGGATAACACACATGATCACACATGCGACCCCATGTTGGTTGAGGATATGCGCTCCGGCCTTGTCCCCGCCTCTGTCTTCTTCGGGTTGAGACCAGGCCCCTGGGACCCCATATTGGTTGAGGATAGGCGTTCCGGGCTTGTCCCCGCCTCCGTCTTCTTCAGGTTGACACCACGCACCGGGGACCCATATTGGTTGAGGATAACGCACCTGGGACCCCATATTGGTTGAGGATAAGCGCTCCGGCCTTGTCCCCGCCTCCGTCTTCTTCAGGTTGACACCGCGCACCTGGGACCCAATATTGGTTGAGGATAAGCGCTCCACCGGCAACCCCATATTAATTGTGGATAACGCACCTGGGACCCCACATTGGTTGAGGATAAGCGCTCCGACCTCGTCCCCGCCTTGGTCTCTTGCAATGGAGACCACGCACTTGGGACCCCGTTTTGGTTGAGGATAAGCACTTCGGCCTTGTCCCCTCCATCCTTTTCGAGTTGATACCACGGACCTGGGACCCTCTTAGTTGAGGATAAGTGCTCCGACCTTGTCCCGGCCTCCGTCCTCTTCGAGTGGAGACCACGCACCTGGGACCCCATATTGGTTGAGGTTATAAGCGCTCCGGCCTCGTCCCCGCCTCGGTCTTCTTGGAGTGGAGACCAGGCACCTGGGACCCCATATTGGTTGAGGATGCTCGCCCCGGCCTGGTCCCCGCCTCCATCCTTTTTTCGAGTTCAGACCACGCACCTATATATTAGTTGAGGATAAGCCGATCTTCTTGGAGAGACCACGCACCTCTGGTTGAGGATAAGCGTGGCGGCTGCGCCTCTTCCCCCTGGCCCCCATTCTGGTTGAGGATAAGCGTGGCGGCTGCACCTCTTCGCCTGGCACCGGAGGACTGGGACCCCATATTGGTTGAGGCTAAGCCCTCCGTCCTCGTCCCTGGCTTGCGTTCCTCAGGTCGAGACCTCACACCTCGGACCTCACATTGGTTGAGGATAAGCGCTCCGGCCTCGTCCCCGCCTCCGCTTTCCCTGAAACCCCATATTGGTTGAGGACAAGCACTCCGGCCTCGTCCGTGCCTTCGCCGTCTACTCAGCTTAAAACCGTGCACCTGAAACCCCATCTTGGTTGACGATAAGCGCTCCGGCCTCGTCCCCGCCTTCGCCTTCTCACGCACCCAAGACCCCATGTGGGTCGAGTATGAGCCCTCCAGCCTCGTCCCGGACTGGGACCCCATATTGGTTGAGGATAAACCCTCCGTCCTCGTCCCTGGCTTGCGTTCCTCAGGTTAAGACCGCACACCTCGGACCTCACATTGGTTGAGGATAAGCGCTCCGGCCTCGTCCCTGCCTCCACTTTCCCTGAAACCCCATATTGGTTGAGGACAAGCACTCCGGCCTTGTCCGTGCCTTCGCCGTCTACTCAGCTTAAAACCGTGCACCTGAAACCCCATCTTGGTTGAGGATAAGCGCTCCGGCCTCGTCCCCGCCTTCGCCGTCTTCTCAGCTTCAGACCACGCACCTGAAACCCCATCTTGGTTGAGGATAAGGGCTCCGGCCTCGTTCCCGCCTCCGCTTTCCCTGAAACCCCATATTGGTTGAGGACAAGCACTCCGGCCTCGTCCGTGCCTTCGCCGTCTACTCAGCTTAAAACCGTGCACCTGAGACCCCATCTTGGTTGAGGATAAGCGCTCCGGCCTCGTCCCTGCCTCCGCTTTCCCTGAAACCCCATATTGGTTGAGGACAAGCACTCCGGCCTCGTCCGTGCCTTCGCCGTCTTCTCAGCTTAAAACCGTGCACCTGAAACCCCATCTTGGTTGAGGATAAGCGCTCCGGCCTCGTCCCCGCCTTCGCCTTCCTCGGCTTGAGACCATGCACCCGAGACTTAAGCGCTCCGGCTTCGTCCCCGCCTGTGCCGTCTTCTCAGCTTCAGACCAAGCACCTGAAACCCCATCTTGGTTGAGGATAAGCGCTCTGGCCTCGTCCCCGCCTCCGCCTTCCCTGAAACCCCATATTGGTTGAGGACAAGTGCTCCGGCCTCGTCCCCGCCTCCGCCGTCTTCCTCGGCTTGAGACCATGCACCCGAGACTTAAGCGCTCCGGCTTCGTCCCCGCCTGTGCCGTCTTCTCAGCTTCAGACCAAGCACCTGAAACCCCATCTTGGTTGAGGATAAGCGCTCTGGCTTCGTCCCCGCCTCCGCCTTCCCTGAAACCCCATATTGGTTGAGGACAAGTGCTCCGGCCTTGTCCCCGCCTCCGCCGTCTTCTCCGCTTAAAACCGTGTACCTGACAACCCATCTTGGTTGAGGATAAGCGCTCCGGCCTCGTCCCTACCTCCGCCGTCTTCTCAGCTTCAGACCAAGCACCTGAAACCCCATCTAGGTTGAGGATAAGTGCTCCGGCTTCGTCCCCGCCTCCGCCGTCTTCTCAGTTTCAGACCAAGCACCTAAAACCCCATCTTGGTTGAGGATAAGCGCTCCGGCTTCGTCTCGGCCTCCGGCGTCTTCTCAGCTTCAGATCAAGCACCTGAAACCCCATCTTGGTTGAGGATAAGCTCTTCGGCTTCGTCCCCGCCTCCGCCTTCTTCGGGTGGAGACCACGCACCTGGGAGCCCATATTGGTTGAGGACAAGGCTTCCCGGCTTCGTCCCTGCCTCCGCCTTCTTCGGGTTGAGACCACACACCTGAGAGCCCATGTTGGTTGAGGATAAGCGCTCCGGCCTCGTGGAGCCCATATTGGTTGAGGATAAGCGCTCCGGCCTCGTCCCCGCCTCGGCCGTTTTCTCAGCTTAAAACCATGCACCTGAAACCCCATCTTGGTTGAGGATAAGTGCTCCGGCCTCGTCCCGGCCTCCGCCGTCTTCTCGGCTTGAGACTACACACCTGGCACCCCATCTTGGTTGAGGATAAGTGCTCCGGCCTCGTCCCCGCCTCCGCCGTCTCCTGCTTGAGAACCTGAAGCTCCATCTTGGTTGAGGATAAGTGCTCCGGCCTCGTCCTCGCCTCCGCCGTCTTCTGCTTGAGATCCCACGCCTCGGAACCCCTTATTGGTTGGGGTTACGCCCTCCCGGCCGTGTCCTTGCATCCATCTCGTTCAGCTTGAGCTCTCACGCCTTGCAACCTTATATTGGTTGAGGATAAGCCCTCCCGGCCTTGTCCTCGCCTCCGTCTTCTTCAGCCTGAGCTTCCAGATCTCGGAACCCCATATTGGTCGAGGATAAGCCCTCCCGGCCGTGTCCTTGCTTCTGTCTTCTTCAGGCAAGCCTCGCAATCCCATCGTGCTTGCAGATAATGTCACCGGACACTGACGTAAGACGATCTATGTATTCTCGCAACTCACCTTTCTTCCCGTGTTATTGCTGTGTCACGTGTGAAACAATGTCCTTCAGCTAGGTGTCCTACGGCGAATGTGTTCTCTGATCATTATCAGAGCTTCGGCCGCGCGCTCGACCACAATCTTTGTTGCTTCGAATTTCCGTCTCAGGAGTTCCTCCTGCTTCTGCTTCCGGAGCTCTGTCCTCTCCTTCTGCTTCTTCTTCTTCTCGAAAGCCCGAAGGTTCGCGATGCAGAGACGGATGGTCTTCTTGGTGTTTCTCGGAAGCCCTTGTAGATCCTGGACTGAAAAGTATTGGAGTCGCCGGCCAAAGTCGAAGTCGTCTGTGGCTCTCGAAGCCAGCATCGGGTACCTGGAGAGTGCACCGATCAGCGCTAGGTGTCCTAGCCTCAGTGCCCAATCCGAGCGTCTCGTGAACTGCGAAATGGCCAGCTTCAGGTTGTGGGGTAGACGTGTCCATTTCTTTGCTGCCGTCCGGCAAGTGCAGTTTAAGGCGCTGAAAAGTACCGGTGTATCCATCGCGTCGAGCTGTCGTGAACTACTGGTTTCTATCGCACGCCTGAGCCCCAGTTGCAGCTGTGCCACAGGCTCGCTTGCCTCCCTTTCAAAGCCACCGGTCCATGATCCGACTAGTCTGGAACATGCGTGCATAGCTGACTGTGCGATCTCTTCATCACGACGACTTGTGAAGTGTACGCCTATCCCGGCCTTGTCTTTGTGAATTTGAGGCCTCGCGCTTGGGAACATGCACCTGGGACCGCATATTCTTTGAGGATACGCCCTCCAGTCTCGTCCCGGCCTCGTTCTTCTTGAGGTTGAAGTCTCGTGCTTGGGAGCATGCACCTGGGACACCATATTGGTTGAGGACAAGCGCTCCGGCCTCGTCCCCGCCTCCGCCGTCTTCTCAGCTTAAAACCATGCACCCGACACCCCATCTTGGTTGAGGATAAGCGCTCCGGCCTCGTCCCTACCTCCGCCGTCTTCTCAGCTTCAGACCAAGCACCTGAAACCCCATCTTGGTTGAGGATAAGCGCTCCGGCCTCGTCCCCGCCTCCGCCGTCTTCTCAGCTTAAAACCACGCACCTGAGACCCCATATTGGTTGAGGACAAGTGCTCCGGCCTCGTCCCCGCCTCCGCCGTCTTCTCAGCTTCAGACCATGCACCTGACACCCCATCTTGGTTGAGGATAAGCGCTCCGGCCTCGTCCCCGCCTCCGCCGTCTTCGGCTTGAGACCCCGCACCTGAGACACCATCTTGGTTGAGGATAAGCGCTCCGGCCTCGTCCCCGCCTCCGCCGTCTTCTCAGCTTCAGACCAAGAACCTGAGACCCCATATTGGTTGAGGATAAGTGCTCCGGCCTCGTCCCCGCCTCCGCCGTCTTCTCAGCTTCAGACCAAGCACCTGAAACCCCATCTTGGTTGAGGATAAGCGCTCCGGCCTCGTCCCTACCTCCGCCGTCTTCTCAGCTTCAGACCAAGCACCTGACACCCCATCTTGGTTGAGGATAAGCGCTCCGGCCTCGTCCCCGCCTTCGCCTTCTTCGGCTTGAGACCACGCACCTGAGACCCCATCTTGGTTGATGATAAGCGCTCCGGCCTCGTCCCCGCCTCCGCCGTCTTCGGCTTGAGACCACGCACCTGAGACCCCATCTTGGTTGATGATAAGCGCTCCGGCCTCGTCCCCGCCTCCGCCGTCTTCTCAGCTTCAAACCATGCACCTGACACCCCAACTTGGTTGATGATAAGCGCTCCGCATCTTGGTTGAGGATACGTCCCCGCCTCCGGCCTGAGATCCCAGACTTCGGAAACCCATATTGGTTGAGGATATCTCTGGCCTGATCCCCGCCTCCGTGTTCTTCTCAGGTTGAGACCATGCACCTGAAGCCCCATATTGGTTGAGTATACGTGGGTTGAAGATAAGCGCTCCGGCCTCGTCCCCGCCTCCGTCTTCATCTCGGGTTGAGCCCACGTGCCTGGAACTCCATATTGGTTGAGGATAAACGCCCTGGCCTCGACCCCGCCCCTGCCTTCCTCGAGTTGAGACCATGCTATATCTCCCCGTATGTGTCTACTGAATGCTGAATAACAGCTGCGTCGGATAGGAGTCGCTCGTAGTCATCGGGCATACCCCAAGAGTGCATGCGCGTGATGCAAGTGCTTCCCGTGCACCTTTTGGACTCTCAAGGGAAGAGGTTCTTATCGCCGGACCTGGCGCTCAGACGGCTGCCGTGGCCTCCTGGGCTGTGCTGTGGCAGGGACGTGCCCGCATGTTCTTCTTCGTTGTGCTGGTCCGGCCTGGAAGACATCCTCTTCCCAGAAACAAATGCTGTCCGAAAGATACCACCAGGGTATCCACGCGCCGTGCGGCACCCTTTGCCAAATGTATCCTGGTTGCACGTCAGTGTGCAGGTTCTGTTCTCTCGCTCTTGCTTGCTGGCCTGCCCACCCATTCTTCCTGAGAAGATTTCTTTTCTCTTCGACGGTGGCACAGGCCTAGCGCACCTAGCGTCAACCACCGTCGGCAGATGCTGGCTTGGTGTGCGTTGCTCGGCCCCTGACGCCCAGTTGGCTCTTGATGCTGTCCAACGGGCTCGGAGCTTCGCGCTCCGGTTTCCCGGCTCTGTAACGGCGGCGGGGCCTGCAGCGCCATCGTGTTCAGCAGAGACATCACGAGCGCTTCTTAAGGCCCCGACGGACACAACCCGAGTCGGCGTGCACAGGGAGGGCCTAGATAAAGGTAAACGGCATATCAGGACTCCTCACTCGTAGAGCGTCCGAGGCTCGGGCACAACATCGCGTTGTGTGTCTCTTCTCCCTCGTATCCGGGGTCGCTGCCCAAGTATCGGGCATATTCCTTGCACTCCTGGCGTAAAAACAAAGCCGAGTAAATGAGAAGTAGTTTCCCGCGACACATCCTCAGGTGCTGGCGCAGCACCGCAGTATACCTTCCGATCTCTCGAAACAGATTGTCCCTGTCGCCATAGCTTCTCCGAGGGGGACCGCTGGCTAGGAATTGCTCAATGAACAAGAGCTGCGTTCATAAGCTGCTGGGAGCAGGTACTCCTGCATGCGTCTGGCTGCACTACATGCTCAGTGATGGTCTCTTTCTCTGATATCCTTTTGCAATTGTCCCGCTTGCGAGCGCGGATACTCCATGGCTCGCCTTCGGCGACTCCGTCTCCTTCAGTGTTCGCCTGAATGGGACTCCGTATTGAGGATAAGCCCTCCCGGCCGTGTCTTTGCCTCTGTCTTGTTTAGCTTGAGCTTCCACACCGTCTTCTTCGGCTTGAGCTTCCACATCTCGGAAACCCATATTGATTGAGGATAAGCCCTCCCGGCCTCGTCCTTGCCTCCGTCTTCTTCCGCTTGAGCGTCCACGCCTCGGAAACCCATATTGGTTGAGGATAAGCCCTCCCGGCCTCGTCCTTGCCCCCGTCTTTTTCCGCTTGAGCTTCCACGCCTCGGAAACCCATATTGGTTGAGGATAAGCCCTCCCGGCCTGGTCCTTGCCCCCGTCTTCTTCGGCTTGAGCGTCCACGCCTCGGAAACCCATATTGGTTGAGGATAAGCCCTCCCGGCCTCCTCCTTGCCTCTGTCTTCCTCCGCTTAAGCGTCCACGCCTCGGAAACCCATATTGGTTGAGGATAAGCCCTCCCGGCCTCCTCCTTGCCTCTGTCTTCTTCCGCTTGAGCGTCCACGCCTCGGAAACCCATATTGGCTGAGGATAAGCCCTCCCGGCCTCCTCCTTGCCTCTGTCTTCCTCCGCTTAAGCGTCCACGCCTCGGAAACCCATATTGGTTGAGGATAAGCCCTCCCGGCCTCCTCCTTGCCTCTGTCTTCTTCCGCTTGAGCGTCCACGCCTCGGAAACCCATATTGGCTGAGGATAAGCCCTCCCGGCCTCCTCCTCCATATTGGTTGAGGATACACTCTCCCGGCCTTGTCGTTGCCCTTCTGCAGCTTGAGGGAAACCCATATTGGTTGGGGATAAACCCTCCCGGCCTTGTTTTTGCCCTTCTTCAGCTTGAGCTTCCACGCCTCGGAAACCCATATTGGTTGAGGATAAGTCCTCCCGGCCTTGTCCTTGCCTCTGTCTTCTTCAGCTTGAGCTTCTACGCCTCGGAAACCCATATTGGTTGAGGAGAAGCTCTCCCGGCCTTGTCCTTGCCTCCGTCTACTTCAGCTTGAGCTTCCACGCCTCGGAAACCCATATTGGTTGAGGATATTCTTCTTTTCTTCAGCTTGAGCCTTCTACGCCTCGGAAACCCATATTGGTTGAGGATACACTCTCCCGGCCTTGTCGTTGCCCTTCTGCAGCTTGAGGGAAACCCATATTGGTTGGGGATAAACCCGCCCGGCCTTGTTCTTGCCCTTCTTCAGCTTGAGCTTCCACGCCTCGGAAACCCATATTGGTTGAGGATAAGTCCTCCCGGCCTTGTCCTTGCCTCTGTCTTCTTCGGCTTGAGCTTCTACGCCTCGGAAACCCATATTGGTTGAGGAGAAGCTCTCCCGGCCTTGTCCTTGCCTCCGTCTCCTTCAGCATGAGCTTCCACGCCTCGGAAACCCATATTGGTTGAGGATATTCTTCTTCAGCTTGAGCTTCCACGCCTCGGAAACCCATTGGTTTGAGGATAAGCCCTCCCGGCCTTGCCTCTGTCTTCTTCGACTTGTGAGCTTCCACACCTCGGAAACCCATACTGGTTGAGGATAAACCTTCCCGGCCTTGTCGTTGCGCTTCTGCAGCTTGAGACGCCACGTCTTGGAAACCCATATTGGTTGATGATAAACCCTCCCGGCCTTGTCCTTGCCCTTCTTCAGCTTGAGCTTCCACGCCTCGGAAACCCATATTGGTTGAGGATGGCTCACCCCCGGCCTTGTCCCTGCCTCTGTATTCTTCAGCTTGAACTTCCACACCTCGGAACCCCATATTGGTTGAGGATGAGCCCTCCCGGCCTTGTCCCTGCCCCTGTCTTCTTCAGCTTGAGCTTTCACGCCTCCGAAACCCATACTGGTTGAGGATGAGCCCCCCCCCGGCCGTGTCCCTACCTGTGTCTTCTTCAGCTTGAACTTCCGCACCTCGGAACCCCATGTTGGTTGAGGATGGGCCCTCCCAGCCTTGTCCTTGCATAGGTACTCCGGCCTCTCCTCGCCTCCGTCCTGTTCGAGTTGAGACCCCGCACCTCGGACCCGATATTGGTTGAGGACAAGTGCTCCGGCCTGGTTCCCGCCTCCATCCTCTTCAAGTTGAGACCGCGCACCTGGGACCCCATATTGCTTGAGGATAGGCACTCCGGCCTGGTCTCGGCTTCTGTTCTCTCCAGACCACGAACCTGGGAACCCATGTCAGTTGAGGATAGGCGATCCGGCCTTGTCGCCGCCTCCGTCTTCTTCAGGTTGAGACCACGCGCCGAGAACGTATTCTGAGAGTAAGTCCTTCGAGCCTGTTGTCGCCTCCTCTTGAAGCTCGCCTTCTTCTGGCTTCAAGCACCTGGCACTGATGCACGCTGCGGTAGGGCGCGCACCTAGGACCCCATATCGGTTGAGGATAAGTGCTCCGCCCTCGTCCCCACCTTCACCTTCTTCGGGCCGAGATCGCGTACCTGGGACTCCACGTTGGTCGAGGATAAGCGCTCCGGCCTCGTCCCCGCCTCCGCTTTCGCACCTGGGACCCCATATTGGTTGAGGATAAGCGCTCCGGCCTCGTCCCTGCCGAGCACGCACCTGGGACCCCAGCTCCGGCCTCGTCCCCGCCTCCGCCTTCTTCGGGCTGAGACCACGCGCCTGGAACCCCATATTGCGCCGGCCTGGTCCGCGAGAGCACGCACCTGGGACCCCATATTGGTTGAGGATAAGCGCTCCCGCCTCCGAGCGCGCGCCTGGAACATATTGGTTGAGGATAAGCGCTCCGGTCTCGTCGCCTTCTTCGGGCTGAGACCACGCACCTGGGACCCCATGTTGGTTGAGGATGAGTGCTCCGGCCTCGTCCCTGCCTCCGCCTTCTTCGACTGAGACCACGCACCTGGAACCCCACATTGGTTGAGGATAATCAGCGTTCACCTCCTCACTTCGGTCTCTTGGGGTTGGGACACCATGCAGGCGAGCCTGCACGGCTTCGTTCCCGCTCCCGGCCTTCTTCTTCTTGAGGATACGCACCTGGCACTCCACGCTGGTTGCGGTCTAAGTGAGCGGGTTGTTAGTTGAGGATTGTTTTTTGGTGTCTGCCCACTACCCCCCGTGAGACTCGTGCCACCCCCCCGGAGGAGGCACCGGGTGGGGAGGGGGAGGGAAGGGGGGAGGGTGGGGGAGGGGGCCGGGGAGGGGTGGGAACCAACACCCATTTCAGTTGAGGATTGTTTTTTGGTGTCTGCCCACTACCCTCCCGCCCCAGGAGGAGGGGGGAGGGCGCTCAGGGGGAGGGGGGGCGGGGGAAGACCCCACACCCCATTTTAGTTGAGGATTGTTCTCTCGGCCTTGTCGCTGAGACCACACACCTCGGCAACCACATTGGTTGAGGCTCAAGCTTCCATACCTTGGATTGTCCTTGCCTCTGTCTTCTTCGGCTTGAGCTTCCACACCTCGGAACCCCCTACCGGTTGAGGATAAGCCTTCCCGCCTTGTCTCTGCCTCTGTCTTCTTCGGCTGGAGCTTCCATACCCCGGAAACCCACATCGGTTGAGTATAAACCCTCCCGGCCTTATCCTTGCCTCTGTCTTCTTCGACTTGTGAGCTTCCACGCCTCGGAAACCCGTACTAGTTGAGGATAACCCCTCCCGGCCTTGTCGTTGCGCTTCTGCAGCTTGAGACCCCACGTCTTGGAAACCCATATTGGTTGATGATACACCCTCCCGGCCTTGTCCTTGCCCTTCTTCAGCTTGAGCTTCCACGCCTCGGAAACCCATACTGGTTGAGGATGGGCCCCCCCCCGGCCTTGTCCCTACCTGTGTCTTCTTCAGCTTGAACTTCCACACCTCGGAACCCCATGTTGGTTGAGGATGGGCCCTCCCGGCCTTGTCCTTGCCTCGGAAACTTATATTGGTTGAGGATAAGCCCTCCCGGCCTCGTTCTTCCCTCTGTCTTCTTCAGCTTGAGCTTCCTGGGGCCACGCACTTCGAACCCCGGCCTTGTCCTTGCCTCCGTCGTCTTTTTGCTGGGGTCACGCACCTCGGACCTCATATTGGTTGAGGCCTCGTCCTTTCTCTTTTCTCCAAGCTGAAACCATGCACCTGGGACCCTATCTTGGTTGAGGATAGGCACTCCGGCCTCTCCTCGCCTCCGTCCTGTTCGAGTTGAGACCACGCACCTCGGACCCGATATTGGTTGAGGAGAAGTTCTCCGGCCTGGTTCCCGCCTCCATCCTCTTCAAGTTGAGACCGCGCACCTGGGACCCCATATTGATTGAGGATAGGCACCCCGGCCTGGTCTCGGCTTCTGTTCTCTCCAGACCACGAACCTGGGAACCCATGACAGTTGAGGATAGGCGATCCGGCCTTGTCGCCGCCTCTGTCTTCTTCAGGTTGAGACCACGCGCCGAGAACGTATTCTGAGAGTAAGTCCTTCGAGCTGGTTGTCGCCTCCTCTTGAAGCTCGCCTTCTTCTGGCTTCAAGCACCTGGCACTGATGCACGCTGCGGTAGGGCACGCACCTAGGAGCCCATATCGGTTGAGGATAAGTGCTCCGCCCTCGTCCCCACCTTCACCTTCTTCGGGCCGAGATCGCGTACCTGGGACTCCACGTTGGTCGAGGATAAGCGCTCCGGCCTCGTCCCCGCCTCCGCTTTCGCACCTGGGACCCCAGATTGGTTGAGGATAAGCGCTCCGGCCTCGTCCCTGCCGAGCACGCACCTGGGACCCCAGCTCCGGCCTCGTCCCCGCCTCCGCCTTCTTCGGGCTGAGACCACGCGCCTGGAACCCCATATTGCGCCGGCCTGGTCCGCGAGAGCACGCACCTGGGACCCCATATTGGTTGAGGCTAAGCGCTCCCGCCTCCGAGCACGCGCCTGGAACATATTGGTTGAGGATAAGCGCTCCGGCCTCGTCGCCTTCTTCGGGCTGAGACCACGCACCTGGGACCCCATATTGGGTGAGGATAAGTGCTCCGGCCTCGTCCCTGCCTCCGCCTTCTTCGACTGCGACCACGCACCTGGGACCCCACATTGGTTGAGGATAATCAGCGCTCACCTCCTCACTTCGGTCTTCTTGGGGTTGGGACCACGTACCTGGGACACCATGCAGGCGAGCCTGCACGGCTTCGTTCCCGCTCCCGGCCTTTTTCTTCTTGA